GGAGCTACACAGCTGCCTGGCTCCACAGTCAGGGCACAGCTCAGCAGCCGCCTGGCTCCAGGGCTGGAGCTGTGTAGCCAGGGTTGGGGCAGAGGGCTGAGGCCAGAGCTCCACCCTCCTGGGGCCAGAGCTCCATGGCCACTGCTGTGGCCAGAACTTCTCACTGAGCCACCTATTCTCTCTCCCCCTCCCACTCCCTTCCCTCCCACCACACACACTGGATTGCTGGTGCCCCCTAACACCCTCCTGCCCTGCTGGAAGACCTCTTTTTTCCTGAGCTCTGTGATCCAGGAACATCCGTGGTCTGTGCTGAATCACAGTTGTTGCTGGACCAGGAAGTCCCGGTTAAGGGAGGTACAACCTGTAGGTACATTTCACAGTGATATTAATGGCCAATGAGTCACTGGCTTTCATTTAATACCTTACAAAACACTTTCTGGGTAAATACTGGAAAACACTATGTTGTCTAGAGTGAGTTTGTCAGACTTGGTAGGAGTTTGACATACAGTAGTGAACACTTTCCAAGATGGTACCAATGGATCTCTGTGTCACACCCTCTGTGGCTGATTTTACTAGTTTATTAGCTGGGAATTTATGAATTGAGCTGTGATAATTTACAGTGTTAGAAGGCTGAGACACAATTCCATCTGGCAGCAGGCCTGGGGCTGCTCATAAAGTAGGTATTGCACAGTTGCAGGGAAGACAGCAGCTGTGAGGTGGGGAAGCTATGCAACAGAAATATCAGTAGCAGGGAAAAATTGGTGTGAAGAGATACAAAGAACTCTGTTTCCTCACAATCTAGAGAGAAATTTGAATGGCACCACTTTCTAGTGTAGGGGAGCAAGAAATCAGAACTGGAAAGCTAGTCAGGTTTTTTCATCGTACTGAATGAAATGAGGTTTACTTGTTTATTTCATGTGGGACAGAAGTTCACATCAGTAATTGCCAGGGCTCGACAAATAGTGTAATATACTCGCCCATGGCGAGTAGATTACACCCCAGAAGAGCCGGCACAGAGCGATCTGCACATGCACGGAACTGTGCGGCTGGCTAGCAGGGATCGCCGCCGCTTGGCGAGTTCTGGTAATTGCTATAATCTCATTTCATGCTTTTTTCATCCTTATTGTTAATCTGAATGGCCAAGAACTGATAGATAAAAGTGAGTTTTGTGCTGGTTCCAAAATGCTTACCTTTTACTGAAAGGTGGACTGGAGTCATAACTCAAGTATTGCCCTTAACCTGAGCGTGCTTGTGATTTCATTTCCAGTTGGGCAACCCAACCTGAGGATAGAGACTGAAACTCAAAATAGCAGAATAAGTCAGTTGCTAACATGATGGCTCTGAAACGTGGATGCAAGCTAGCTCCACTTGAGTGGCTCTAATCTTTGGATTCTTTTCCACTGATGCTTTTCGACAGTTTTCTCCACTAGGTGCCCAGAAAGGATTAACATATTATCCCACAATTTAATGGCAAATCATTTATAAAGTGGCTTCACTTCCTGAAGGTGCATGGAGCCCTGGGCTATGCTCTTAGCAGTCGATTCTATATACGCAAGTGCCAATGTGAGCACAGTAGATTGACTGTTATTGTGAGGTTTGCTTTAACTTGAGTGGGGCTAATTCAAGAGGAATAACTTGAGTGTGGATAACTCAAGTTCATTCTACAGTGAAAACATACGGAAATTGGAGTTCCTGCACTTGTGTGTCTGGAAGTAGAGGAGGAAGAGTATGTCGAGGCCTTGTGCTCTATCTTTTCAGCGGGGAAATAGAGAAACTGTTTCTAGGACTGTCCCTCTGGTACTGTTTACCAGCACAATTCAATTAAAGGCTTTAAAAAATATAGGTTCAATTGGAGAGGCAGTTTGATTTCAGGAACAATAGAATATAATAACCTCAGATGCCACATTCAGATCAATCTTGTGCCAGGTAGGGAATTTCCATGTTGTTCAGCCACTCCCAAGTTCCAAGTAACCAGCAAAGGCAAATAACCCATTGTAATCACTGGAATACCAGCAGTTTGGCCTGAACATGTAAACACTGGTGTATAAACATTTCCATTGGACAGAGAAGAATATTAGCAAGATGAGACTTCTGCATTTCTTTGAGATGACACTGCTTTTTTCTTCAGAAAAATTTAGGAGGTAGAATTTTGCCTGCAGTAATCCCTTATAGATAAAGGCAAAAATGAGTGGAAAAGTACGTACTTTTTTGAATGTGATGCTAGAGCCAGGCAATAAAAAACTGGTGCAACTGAAATATTGTCCTGCAATAATTAACAGATATCAGATTAATCTTTGCTCAGTGACTGAGACACTGAGAATCTCTTTCCATTGCTGCCTCTCTTTAGGATCTTAAATTAAAAACGGAAATGCCATATGATTCTGTTCAGTGTTTCCCAGTGAGCAAAGATTGGTAGGCTGGCAGGAATTATTCAACTGAGGGTCCTCATCAGATTCTTTCAATTTTCATGTAAGCAGAGTTGCTCTAGAGGTAACTTGCACTCTACTGGTAAAACAAAAAGGGAGATTGCAAATAGAGTAGGGATTATAAATTATAAGTAAATAGAATTATCTGTGCTAGGGATGTAAGCCAGTAGTCGACTATCTGATAAGCAAATGCTTATCAGATAGACAAGTAACAACTCAACTAGTTGCTCCCCCCTCCCCTCTGCTGCCTCTATCAGAGAGGCAGCGGTTGGGGGAGCCAGAGCTGGTGCTGGGGGGAACCGGCTTTAAGCTGGGGGGCAAGTGAAGCAGAGGCATACTGGGGAAATGGCACGAGTGGGGGCTGCTTCTAAGCAACAACTGTTTCGGCGGGCAGGGATTGCTGCAGGCAGGGGCTGCTCAGGCACAGCCTCTGTCAGCGGTCAGCCCTGACTGCCATGAACAGGGGCTGGTGCTAGAGCAGTCTCTGTTTGCAGTGGCCAGGTGCGCTGATTGCTGTGCCTGTGCATTTTAAATGTAGTAAGAGTGCTGGGTTCTTATTAAATTTAAAATGCAGAGCTGCAGTGCAGGTGGCTCTGGAGCTGGATGCTGAGTCCCAGCTCGAGTTGACTCCTGGGGCTACCCCTTCTGTGACTTTGCAGAGGGGTGCTTATTGGCTCATCGTATAGCCAATACAAATTGTATCAACTATGCAATTAGCCAGATATTGCATTTTAACATCCTTAATCTGAACATTATGTTGGAAATAAACCTCAGGAAATGCATACACAGGTGTTCTTCAGAGCTTTCCATTACCTAATTTTTAGAGCACAATCTACATAAATAATATAAGGAAGTCTACCAGAATCATCTTGACAAAAAGCTTTGTCATCCATTCATTTATGTAGCAAAGTGAGAGACTAAATTTTTTTGTCTTTCTTTACTTTCTTCTTTTGTGTAGGAGTCTTTCTAAGGAGTTTTGGACCATCAGGAATAAAGTTTTTGCTTAGCTTAGCCTAGCCTAGGAAGACTAGGATCTGTTTATTATTTTAGCCTCACCAATACTAGCAGTGGTGGAGGTGCAGTATAGATGTGAGACAAGCATTTGCATCCCCTTTCCTTTGTTAAAGTGCAATCCCACAAATTGCATTTTGTGTTGACATTTAAATGATCAGAAGTAATTCTAGAAGTAAATGACTCATTGAGGTGAATGTAATAAAGAGTGGGAGCCATCTTAGCTGATTTGGTTGGACCTTGTCAAGGCTGGGTTACCTGTATTGGAGCATACTAAGTTCATGCGAAAGAGAAGGATAGAAACATGTGTTCTACAATGACCGTTCAAATTATCTCCAGATTTAATATTTGCATAAGTTTAGTGTGGTAATAGTTTAGCCACCTTGCAGTATGCTGCTTCTAGGGCAATGGTTGACCAGAGAGAAGTGGAATTTGTTCTAACAAGTTTATATTTTTGCAGTTGCCTTGGACATTTCTTTCTCTTCTCAGCTTTTATGCAGTGGAGTGAGTGCTTTCAAGTTTGGGCCTGTCTCGTATCTGTCCAAACACCTAACTGAGGATCATGTCTCTTCAGTCCTCTTGATCCTAACTTCCCTTTTGATGTTCAGTATTTTTGTTGCACATCTCCTACATTTTTCAGCCTTGCTTTGTTACTTCACAATGGCTCCAGGACTGTTAGGTCTGAAATTTTCACAGTGGTAAGCAGAGGCTGTTTTATCCAGAGATGTTAATGTGATAATCTGCCACTGACTGCAGTGATCTTCTCCTCCTCTTTAGAGTGGTGCTGATGTTTTTGAAGACTTAGTATGAACATAAATGTAGTTTTGGAGTACAAAGCAAAGTTTTGTATCATAAGTCTTTTGTGTGGCTACTCATAACTTTCATAATCAAATGTGTATGGAGGATGTATGTGAGTGAGGAGAGCCCACAGTTAGAAACCCTAACTTGTTTCCATCCTTCCTGTCTTTTCATTAAGATGGTGGGCTTCAAGGAGCATCTGAAATAATTGCTAATATGAGTTGGTGGTACACCCTTTTGTTTCTGCTGTATGTACATATTCAGGTTATGGTACCAAGCAAAAATGGGTTTTTAATGCTCCCATGTTTAGTTCAACATATCACATAAGGGTTCGAGAGAAAGTCTACAGTAATACAAAATTCCTGTTTCAATCTTGGCAAAGTCATGACATGTACGTTGTCTTTTCTTGTCCTTTCTTCTGTTTGGATGGATAACATGAAGAAATAAACTAGTCGCAATGTTCTTCCAGATTCCTTATTGGAGGCTAGATCATTTGCTGAGTATTGTTAGCACTTGTGGTCCTTGGAACTCAGAGGTCAACACAACTGAACTAGCTATGCTAACTTGGCAGTAGTAAGCGTGCAGTTGCCAAAATAGTAGATGGTATTTGGCTGTTTCAATCCTACTTTTGTCAGTGTGTGTACCAAAGTACTTAAAGATAGTGACAAAAAGAAACCTCTGAAAAGAACTGTCTCATGCTGAAATGGAATGTTGGCTGTTTTGTATTTTAGAGAAGTCCTGAATTTGTGTTTTTTCCCTTTTCAGTGATCGGGAGCTGCTGGCATGGAATTGAACTGTGTGTGTTTGTGGGAACTGTAAACAAGGTATGTATAAATGTATTTCCCCTCTGCCCTATCCAGTGTCATACCTTTGTTTCCAAACCTATTGAGTCTTTTTTTTTTTTTTTTGTACTGTATTGTTAAATTTACTGTTGCCTTGTTGGCACTATCTGTGATGATCACTGTCATTTGTCCTACTTCACTGAAGATAGAGTTTTGGAAACCCGTGTTAGATGACATCTGACGGCTGCCCTGAATAGAGAGAAACATAGAACACATCTACACCAGTACCCTGTCAAGTGTAAACAGACTTTGACATGCTGTTGTAGTTGCATGTTACACTGAGTATATCCATGTAGCAACATTTTTTCTAGTCATTTGGTGACTTTTGCCAGTTTAAAGTTGAATAGAAACTGGAAGGAATTATTTCCCTCTTGTGCACTGTAAGGCTTTAGTATGGATTTTAATGGGAAAAGGAGGTTATTTACATGTTTTACTGCAGGATTAGTTTAGTAAATACCACACCATGAGATTGTTAAAATTGTGAAAGGTGACACTTCTGATTACCTGAACCCAATCCTTTGTCCTTTTTTTTTTTTTTTAATAGCCAGGCTTCTGTTGCAATGTTCAAAGAGTTTGAAAGGCACAGAATGATTCTTACAAGTATTGGATCATGAAATACATTTGAAAATATTTGGGTTCTGGTCTGTATTTCTGACCCTGCTATTCATGTATTTAAGAAATAAATGGTCATTTGATGATGGATTGTTATAAGATTGTCTAAACTTCATGATTGCTGGACTGAGTGAAATTAATGTGAATATTATGAGGAAAATTTCTGTAGTGCATTAGAAATATGGTCCTGGTAGAAAGTTTTTTTTTTTTATTTATTTTTAAGCTAATGGAAGAATTGCCTTTATCTCCAGGGATTTATCAGCCATGTACAGCTGATGATGTTTTCAATGTAATTACATCAGGCATGCTCTTTCTTGCCATCTCCTCCTTTTAAGCCCTAACAAACTGTCCAGACCCTTAGTCTGATAAAATTTCTTGCAAGGTCCTTGCTGGCTCCAACATGTTTTGTTGTGGATCTTATATTAACAAATTTGCTCAAGGCGACAGTGAAAAGATTTCAGGTAATCTTCAAAGATGGCCTGTCCCCTACTCTTAATTGGGGCAATATACTGTCTTTAAGACTGTTCGGTTCAGTTCCGGCAATATAGCCATCTGTTCCTTATCTTTTCTGTTTGTATGTGTTGCATGAATGTTTTTACTTAGTGTGGCTAATATGAAGGGAAGTAGAGGTTTATTGAAAGCAGTGGGTAAGCTAGCAAACTAACATTGTCTAATCCTTCTATCATAGTCCGGTATGTGAATTGTTTAAGGCTGTGTATGCTGTTTTTGAGTTTGAAATTCAGGATTTTTCAGTCACAAAAAGTCACATCGGTGTTTTCTTGGGGGCAGTTTGAGTGTTCACTTGTTTAAGTGAAAGAATCTGAAGGAAAAAGCAGTGTTTCAGAGCTTATAGAAATCTTGGAAACCAGGACTTTGGTTTCACTCATTCAGTTTAAAGACTAAAATGAATATGCATATATCTTCTTGGAAAAATACCCTCCTCAGAAGCTGCTTGAAGATGGCTATCAGGAACTGGGAGAGTTGGCTCTGAAAATCTAGTATGCCTTTAGAAAACTTTCCACTGAAGACATTATGTATAATATCACACTGTGGGGAGCTAAGTGGGAACAGAAATGTTACTTCCAGTCTCAGTTTTCTTAACTAAAAAGGATTTATTTACTTCTGCGTGTCTTTTAGAATTGAGGGGGGAAAAAAAGTCTGATCAGGGATGAATTCCTGTAATAGCCTCATGCCCCATGTTTTTATGTAAAATTATGTTCTTCTGCAGTTGGGATTCAAGTGGTGTCTGAACAAGCCTATGCTTCCTCATGGAGTGTACACGTGGTCTTGTTTTGTAACTGCTTCCTGGTGTTTTACTATATATCTGTAGTCCTGAACAATCTGGTACAAGACTCTGTAGTTGGAGAAATCTAAGTGATGAGAGATTTTATGGCAGTTGTGTTTGGAATTTGTATAACAGTTCCAAAGCATTTTTAGACTGTGGTTCAGTCCACCCTTTCCTTTGCCCCAGCAGCTGTCCACTTCACCAGTTTCTCTGCTGCTTTGTGGCTGAAACATTGGCAGCCATTAACCAGTTAACTAAGTACGGTTTTTTAATGGGAAAGGGGACAAAGATCAGAATTCAGTATTGCAACAACTGAGCACCCATAGGCCTCTACCTTTACCATGATTAGACACTGATATTTGTGGATAATATACAGAGTATTTTTATTTAGCAGTCTCTCCATTTATCATTGCTGAAGCTGCCATATGCTTCAGATTTTCCTTCTTTCGGATTATTCTGTTGAGTTGTGATGACCTGGAGGCACTGATGCCTCTGGGCACAACATGACATGGTCTCTTTCTTCTCTGCTCCATTCATCTCAAATCCTAATCCATTTAAAGCCACTCTGCTTCAAGATTAACTCTTCTTTTGGCTGGCTGCTCACAGCTGGCACAGACATTTAACAGAAGGGTGTTCTTAAGTTTAAAAAAAGTGACTACTTCATCCTAAAATAGCTGTGCTGCATATGCACGCTGACGCTGTTAGCTGCTTTAGGTTGCTTAGCAATTCTTAAATTGGTAGAAATTGCTATTACCATGGCAACATGAAATGCAAACAGATTTCAAGGAAAGAAGAATGGGAAATGCAGTTCATAGCAGTGTTGTCACTTTACTGGGAAAACATATGGTATGTGTTTCACTTTTCCTCTTTCCACGTTTCCCTATTTTAAAATGTTTTGTCCTGGAGGGTTTCCCATTAGTATTTACTGGCATTTCATATTGTGGAAGCTATTGCTGTTTTTTGATTGATTAAAAATTTCAGTGTTAAGGACTGAATTCCTCCTCTATGTGGAACTCTCACTGCAGCATTCACAGCATTAAGATGCTAATGAATGTGTGGGTATTTGGCTAGAGAGACTGTAGGAACACTTTTGATTTCTCTCCCAGCTCCCTGGAAAGAGCATGTTGTGTATTTCTCTCTGGCAGTATGTTAGTCTCTAGAAAGTTTATAAAAATATTAATATCTGTAACAATCCTAAATCTTGACGTGTGTTTGTGTGGCCTCTGTTATAGAGGCTACAGACTCTTGAAATTGGAGTGGTCTGATGCTTTCAAAACCTAGGAGAAAATGGGGCAAATTAAAGCTGGAGAGGAGGGAAGAGTGTCTTGTTTCTACTTAGCAGCTCAGTTTCTTGCTATATGCATGACTAATTCTAGTCTTCATTGACTGCTTCCAGAGAGAGTTATTTCTATTCTCAATGTAAACTTTTTGATTGACATGGAAATGGAGTTAAATCTGAAGGCCCTCGTTCCTCAGAATGCTTATTGATTCCTTACTTTTAGGTTAGAATTCTCCATCAAACTTCTTACGCAATTTACTTCTTCATAATATAGTACATTTGTCTCTGTACAAAAATATTCTTTATTTTAGAAAGAGTGGCAGCACAAAAAACCTAGCAGAAAATTCTTCCAAAGTATTAACGATGTTAAACTGTGGTTAATTGACTAGTTGATATGTACTTCCGCATTCCTCTTTTGAAATATACAAGAGCCCTTGGGGCTCTTGTACATTTCAAAGGAGGAATGCGGAACTACACCTACAGCCTGGGGCCAGTGGCTACACTGGCTGCCTGCTTTGAAATGTACAAGAGTCCCCATTGGTAGCTCTTGGGCATTTCAAAGCTATGGAGCCCAGGGTCAGCGGGGGACTCCCCAACTGATCCCGGTTCCATGAGGCATTTCAGCAGAATCCGGCATCTGTGGGGGATTCTCCAGCTGACTCTAGGTTCTGCATGGCATTTCCCCAGAACCAGGGGTTAGTTGGGGAATCCTCAGCTGACCCCGGGTTCCGGGGAAATGGCACGCGGAGCCTGGGATCAGCTGAGGAGTGCCCCACTGACCCTGAGCTCCCCGGCTGCGCCCTTCGAAATGCGGAGGCGATGTTTTAAAGGGGCAGCACTGCACTGTTGATTCCCGCTCAGCTGTGTGGCGCTGCCACTTTGAAGTACCCCTTCTCTCCCTCCCTCCCCCTTTGCTGCCTCTGTCTGATAGAGGCAGCAAGGTGGGGGAGGGGGGGAATCGACTAATCAAGAGACTATCCTATATAAGCAAATGCTGATCAGATAGTCAACTAGTCCTTAACATCCTTACTACGTATTAATGTACGTAATTGACAGCTTGCTGTAAAATGCCATTATTGTGCATGTGGCACAAGGGGTGTCAATACAGGAAACCCACTAAAAAGATCAAACTTCTTTCTATAGAAGACAAGATTCAGCATTTTTTGCATTTGAAGCACCGTACCACATTCTGTCAAACAAAACTAGCTTTTAACAAACTACCACAGCTGCTGCTTCTCTAAGTGATGACTGAATCTGAGCAGTCTTTGCATCTTAGTACAGGCAGTCCCTGGGTTACGTACAAGATAGGGACTGTAGGTTTGTTCTTATGTTGAATCTGTATATAAGTCGGAACTGGCATCAGCCGCTGCTGAAACTGATCAGTTTCAACAGCGGCTGAATCTGGACGCCAGTTCTGACTTACATAGGATTCAACTTAAGAAACGCAGCTGGGGTGCTGCTGGGTTGCTCCAGTAGCGCGGCTCCTCCAGAAACTGACCAGCAGCGGCTGAATCAGGATGCCTGGGACAGAGCAACTGGGGTGCTGCCCGGTTGGTCCAGAGCGGCACTGTGGGACCAACCCGGCAGCCCCCAGCTGCTCTACCCCAGGGGTAGGCAAGAAAAGCTTGGTCTGCTAGGGGGGCACTAGCTGCACCCCTCCCCCCCAGCAGACCAGGGAGACGGGGGTGGCGGAACCGCCCAAGTCCTCCACGGCTTTGCTCCGTCTCCCTGGTCTGCAGACCAGGGCGACGGGGAGCAAAGCCTTGGAGCACGCCCACAGCGGGACAGCCCAGGCGCACCCGGGCTGTCCCGCTGCGGGCGTGCTCCAAGGCTTTGCTCCCCATCTCCCCGGCTCCCCCCCAGCAGACCAGGGAGACATGGAGCAGCTTTTCTCGCCCCGGAGGACGGGGGCGGCGGGACTGCAGTGCATCTGGGCGTCCCGCCGCTCCAGTCCTCCAGGGCGAGAAAAGCCCCGTTCATAAGTCGGATCCGCGTAACTCGGGGACTGCCTGTATTCACAAAATATCTTCCCCTGAGATTTGGAGGTGGGGCAGAGTTGCTCTCTGGGACACTCAAGATGAATTAAGATGGGTTGCTGCATTTAGCCTGGTCTGCTGGGAGGGGGAGGGGCTGATGGTGTCAGACTGATGGTTTTTCCTTTGCAGGTAATGTTTGTAAAGTTATATACAATGTGGAGCAGGACTCCCATGCTCTCCAAAGGGAGAAATTATGCATAAGTATGAAATACAATGCAGACAGAGTTTAAGATTTTGCTCATATCTGCTTGAAAGTAAAATTTATGTTGAAGATGAAATGTACTTACAAGAGTGTAGACCTATTCTAAACCAAGTGCGATGTATAGCGAAATACTTCATATTGCAGCAACCTTGAATCTGCTTCACTTTACTGGAGTATTGTCAGAAAAAAACACTGATTTCCTTTACTACTTCCTTTACTTTCTGATTCTACCTCCTTCCCCTTGCTTATCTTAATTAGTCCATGACCTGAACATCCTCTACATATTCATTAGTCACTAAGGTGCTGGAAGGCCATTTTTTGTTTGTTTGTTCAGTTAGACTAACATGACTAATCCTCTGAGACTTTTAATCATGGCTGAAATAACTCAGTTTGCCACCAGTTCTTAATATTTGTTTGTGCATATGCTATATTTATAGTGTTGTAGCCATGTTGATCCCAAGTTATGAGATACACAATGTGGACAAGTCACTAAGCATTCTAATAAGAAAAAGTCTTTGTTTGCAAAGCACTATGAAAACTATCATCTCTGAGATGGGGGGAGGGAAAGGAGAAGAAGCAAGGGAAATGGAAGCAAAATAATTGAAGCCTTGCCTACAAAAAGGGTATGGGAAAACAGTTTGAACCAATTTTTCAAATGGTTTCACATTAGATCTTATGTGCTGGCCATTTGGCTCAATATAGATGCAAGGAATGGAAAGACCATGGAAATCTTTAAAAAAGTTCCTGTTCATTTAAGAAAAATAGAAAACTCTACACAATATTTAGGGCTTTACACTGTTTGAAGGGTTTTATGAGATAAGGATTTCCTTCTGATTTTTACCTCTTCATAATTAATTCACAACTCTTTAAAATGGAAGTTTAGCTTCTGAAAAGCCTTGAGATTTGATGACTTCAGCACAATCAAAGTAGTGCAGGACTGGCTGCTCAGTTTAGAAGCAGCGCTAAGGAGCGGGAAACTGCCACCCCTATTCATCTCAACTGCATCTGAATGTTCCAGCATAATTGCCATTACCATGTAATAGTTAATTTTAGTAACCATTTCACTGATTTTTTTTTTTTTTTTTCAAATGGCAGGCAGCCAGCCAGCATGCTTCGGTTTGTGTATCCGGATAAACTACTTATCTTGGATATTTAAGTCATTGGAAAGGGGTTGCATAAAAGTACATCCTGGAGTTTTAAATATTTACATTAATCTGATTATGCTAATTCTTTGGATAATTGATGCTCTTAATCTAATCTTTTACGTTGCTATTGATCAGAAATGAAAGGGGGGAAAACTGTTCTGTTTGTTTACTCTGTGTCATTGACAATACGTTGTTTTTTTCCATAGTAAACTTTCACTGTTTACACAGGCATAATGGGAGAAAATGTATAAAACCATAAATTGGCCGGTGAACTCAGATGTATGTAGTCCCTGGAAATTACTCCCTTTTAGAAACTGGCTAGATTTCACATTGACAATTAACCTTTAAAGACAATATATTATTATAAAACAAAGAGAACACAAGTAAACATAGTTAACTGGAAGATAGAGAAGGTAAGCAGAATCAAACTTGTGATGTTTACCACTCTCCAAAATGCGGGAATTAAATATTAAGAAGTTGATGATGCTTGTCTTAGATGGGTAGAGAGCAGGAGGAGGGTAACTATGCCTAGTAGTGTGGCTAGCAAGCAGACTCGGCAGTGGAAGAAAATACCATATGAGTTGTAACAGTGTGTGTTTACTGTGTTTGAGTGGCTAATATTGGATTTGACTTGAACTCAGCTGAAAATGAACCCTAAATAAGTATCAAACTTGCATTCTCTGTCTCTTTAGCAGGTTGCCATCACGAAAGCCAAAGTGGATTTCTCCGGTGTGGTGTGCCTGCCCCCTTCCGCCATTGCTGGAAATGGGCTGGACGGAGGAGGGGCTGGCGAAAATGATGATGAACCAGTGTTGGTGTCGCTTTCTGCGGCACCAAGTCCCCAGAGCGAAGCTGTTGCCAATGAGCTGCAGGAGCTCTCCCTGCAGCCCGAGCTGACCCTGAACCTTCACCATGGTCGAAACCCCAATCTCCCTCCTCTAAGTGAGAGGAAGAATGGTAAGTGACACAGTCCTCTATGATGTCTGTTTTCCTAGTAACCAGGCTTCAGCAGACACAGCAAGTTCACATGGCACATGCTTTGAATATATGCCACTGACATTTGTAATACATAATTAATATGCATAGTTTGTAATCCAGAGCAGGTATAAGTATAGGAAACTGATGCAAAGCTGCAGAAAATTGATTTCCAAGGAGAAGGATTGGTTACTGTTGGCTTCTGAAGTTCCAGAAGGCTCTAACAATGAACACTTATGGATTATTAACCAGTGTAAATGGCAGAATAATTACCACAGGCTGTGTGGTGTAAGTTTCCCCTAAGCTGCATGTTCAAGCTGCTTCCCATTAGGTCCCACTCAGGAGCCCCTTCCTGCTGGCCCCAGTACTAAGCTGCAGTGGCTGGCTCCACCTCACTGTCCCCAGCAGAGAGCAGGCCATGTAATCTGAGCCCACTTTCTAACCACCTTGAGACCTTTCAGTACTGATCTCTCTCCTGCGCTGCAAGCCCTCATCTTACCTCAAAGCAAGCCCACACTGACACATCAGAACTTGTATCCCCTCCTGCTCTAGGAATGTAAGCAACTAGTCAACTGCCCAATAAGCCTAGGTTTATCAAGTAGTCGAGTCACTGCTCGACTAGTTGCTTCCCCCCCACTTGCTGCCTCTGTATCGGAGGCACCAAGGGGACGGGGAGACGGTGCTGGAGGGAGCTAGCTTAAAAGTGTGGGGTCCTGGCTGCTGCGCCTCTCCCTTTAAAATGTACAAAAGCCATGTACGCAGCATCGTCCCCAAATGATCAGGTTCCCTGCTGTGCCTCTTCCTTTGAAATATACAAGAGCTGCAGGTGGCTCTTGCACATTTCAAAGCCAGAAGCATAGCGGGATAGCGAACACTCCCTTGACTAATCAAGTAGTCAATGGAAATTCCATTGACTACTCATTTATCTGATTAATCAGAATTTAGCCTCCCTATCCTGCAATCTAAGCTAGTCATCCCCAGCTATACCCCAGAACCTGCACCCCCAGCTAGAGCCTTTGCACCCCAATCCTGAGCCCACCCCTTCACTCAGAAACCCTTTGCTCCACTCCTGCCACATGAATTTGCTTGTGTGCACTAATATGAAGGTGTCACACACCACTTCCACATTGATGCATATAAGAAATTTAATTCAGCTTGGGGTGGAAAAATTAGAACAGTGTGTGGTGGTGAACAGTTGTGCAAAACCAAAGATAAAAGCAAAGGAAGGGTCGTCCTCTTTGGGCTATCCTCTGGGAACGGGTCACTTTTCTGAGAGTCCAGTTTGCCCATGTTGAGTCTGTGAAAAATCTTTCTTGCCATGGCAGGCTATAATGGCCAGTTAAGTTTATTAAAGTTGTGGAGGATACTGAATTCAGAAACAGCAAATGAGTTAAGCCTTGACATATGAAGAAACAAATGAGCTAAGGCCTGATCCTGCAAAGTACAGTTGATGTCAGTGAGGTTTGAGCACTGGGCACCTTTTTGTTTATAATCTCCAATCTTCAGTTTGGAAATCTGAAATAGCTGTGGAAGCCATTGTTGAACATTTGGGGAGAATCATTACATGACTCCTAATGAACTACGAGGCTTAATTTAGGGTAGGAGACTTCTCAATAATTATGGATAAAATTGTTTAAGAAAAAATTGGATTTTTTTGGTTTTTTAAAATACAGGTTCATTTAAAAAAATCTACTTAAATATGATAAATTTAAACTACACTTGTTATCTATATTAAAATAGCTTAGTTCAAATACAAAAAATCATACTATGCAGCACATTTTTTCTGAAAAGATTTAAAGAAGTCAAACCACTAATGCAGTGATTCCCAACCTTTTTCCCCATGGAGGAACCCTTAAAATTTTTTATATCCCGAGGAACCCCTACCTATGAGAGAGTTTGCTTGGCCAGAAAAAGTTGACAGTGGGGAGCGCAATTCAATTACTGTTAAATTATTGTCAAGAAAATTTATTTGTAAATAGCTGTTTTTATTTTTATTTTTATTTATATATATAATATATATAAAGTCAGCTTACGTTGTAAGAAAAAAATTATTTATTTATTCCACGATTTCTCGCGGAACCCCTGATGATGGTCTGCGGAACCCTGATTGGGAAACACTGCACTAATGAATAGTGGAAGTTACTGGCTAGAAACCTGGCACCAGTTTGTTGAATTGGTAAATCAGCTTTTGAGAACAGTAACCTCTTGCTGGTTCGAAGAGAATATTTTCTTCATTTTGGTTATTCAGTAACTTTACTTCTGTGACTAATTCATCCAAAGTTAAGAAACCTATTAGATGTTGAAAAGTAGGAAAGCTTGTTTTCATCTAATTTTTAAAGATCTACTAGTTTGAAAATCTTGAAGGATTGTGATCAGAAACAGTTTTCATTTCTCTGTTTAAAAAAAAATCCTTTGTTGAATAGATCAGTTTTTAAAAAATACAAAACCTGCTTTAAGAAACTTTTTGATAAACATTTTGTTATGTATCTATCATTTAAAGTTGTTTTATTTAATAATAAAAAGATGGTGTTTGCTTTTTAAATTAAATATTAGCTTCTTCCAAATAGAGTTTTGCTCAAATCACTTATGAGGTCATTGGTTTACTTGTAAGAAAATGTGCATCACTCACAATTTTCTAATATAATAACATCGTGAAATTTAAGAATCTTAATAAATGTGAATTGAGCTGTGTAATAGCTTAAATATGCACTCTGTCTTGGTTAGCAAAAAGAAGCACCTTTAGTGTAGAGGTTGTTTTTTATTCGTAAAGGTACTATGTACTTTACCATATTTGTAAAGTACCAGACAGAATCAGTGTTTCTTTAGATAAATAACCAAAATCTTCATATGCAAACTGCAATTACAATCTGTTTATTTAAATCAGGGTTTCCTGCTTGCTTATTTGAATCAAGATGAAAACTGATGATTTAAGTTAATGGTACTTTGTTTTTTGGGATTATCTATTTTTGTAACTCAGAAGATTTTGGATTACCTTTCTCTGGAGGCTTGCCAAAATTACCTCTGTCCCCCTACAGTCGTTTTCCTTAGCACAAAATGTAATTCTCTTAGACTGGACAGAAAGGAAGGGAAGGGGACTTATTCTTTCCAGTCCTTTCCCTTTATGCTGTGGTTACAGTGTCCACAGTTGAATATACTATAGAGTTTATGCTCTTTTTCTTGAGGCACATCTTAAAATACAGTATTTATTAAGAATTTAATCTGTAGCTATCTCACTGTGGGCTATCATCTACTTGGCACAAACAAGCTAAACAGGGTTCAGGCTGAAAAATACGAGCACCTCTCCACTCACATCTTTCCTCAAGGATAAACATGGAGTACTGCAGGAAATGTTAGTGATTGTTTACATTGAACTCTGGAGGGTTGATACTGAAATAGTATCCAGCATAATAGGGGGAACTGTTTTTTAGAGGGTGCTATCATTCAGACAAGACAAAGTGCAACATGCACAGAGCTTAGGATCACTAAATAACTCAGTGAAAAATGACACCAAGTTTAATGATTCATGAATCTCTGCAGTGAATGATTGATTGTGACATAATGCATCTTGGATCAATAAATTTGTTCTTTAAAAATATTTTACGGAAGATATTTAAAATGTAATTCTTAGTGACATTGATGGGGACAGAAGTTGGGTAATTTAACTAGATATTGACCACTGTAGTTAACTGTTTATGTAGGTGGGCCTATATTTCTAGTTACAACTTTTGTTTAAAAAAATGAACAAAAAACATGAGCAACATTTGGGCTGACATTTGATTGGCATTCCTTAACTTTATCAGGTTGACTAGGGAATAACGCCTTGTGCAATGGAACTGCTTCTGTGACTGCTGACCAAACCCAAGATAGTGAGCAGTGAGTAGGATTCAGAGAAGAGATAGTAAAAATACAGAGAAATGTTGTCAGGTGCCTGATTTGCAATTCCAGACACACATACCTTTTAACAGACAGGCATTGCTGACTCAGCAGCTATCTTTCTAAGGCTGTGTTCCTTAAGCCTACAAAAGACTCTTTTGTCTCTACTAATGATGTTAATAGGAATGAGTGTAACCTGTAGTTACACTGAACAGCTATTAGTAGGACTAAAAGTCAGTGTGCTTCAGGGCATAAATTGATCATTAGTTGAAGTCAACAAGAGACTTCTCTACACTGTGCAATATTATACTATTTAAATGCCATAATGGGAATTCACACTTTTCTCCAAAGCATTTGGCATTGACTGCTCTTAGCAACAGAGAATCCTGGACTGAATACATGGTCATTCTGTTGTTGTGTGGCACTCTGTAGTTACTGCTGCAGAAATGAAATACAAGAGACTATTAGTTTGTGTCAAAATTTTCAAAATCAGGGCTTCCCTTCTAGATTTTCCTGGACTTCATTACAATTACAAAGGGTTTTTGGGACCCTCACAATGATATAATAGATGTTGTAACACTCATCATGTTATCTGAGTGCCGTTCCTAGCCCTAAGGGCAAGAGAGCAGATTTAGTAATTGCATGCAACTTGGCTTTCTTTTTAAGTGAGCTCCCTCTTTAGCTTTTACTTTGTCACATGAGGATGATCACCTGGACGGATCCTTGGCCTCTATCCACTGATCAGTTTGTCATTATAAGTCATAATCTGTCTGCCCTGAGGCCATGTAAAGTGTTCTGTTAGGAATCTGAGGCTTTGTCTACATTACCAAACATTGTAGCCAATAATTGCCTTTTGGTGAAAAAACAATGAGTGCGTAAACACTATGTCACTTTGGTTGTGAAAAATGCCTGGTTTTGGTGTCAAAATGCTTCTATCCCTACAAAAGATGTTTCTCTTTCTCCCATACATTTGTATTGACAAAGAGCCAGTATAGACTAAGGATGTTAAATATTGAGTAATTTACTAGGCGAGTAGTTTATGGAATTTCCATCAACTGCTCGAATAAGCACTTCTGCATTCCTCCTTTGAAATGTACAAGAGCTCCTGC